TATATATATATATATACCATGACTATTACTGTAAACCATATTTAATAGTTAGAAATGAACCATAGGCTTAAACTTACTAAAATTTTAGAAGAAAACAAAGGAGAAAACATTGGGACTTGAGTTAGAAAAAGACTTATTAGATAAAACACAAAAAGTACAACCCATAAAAATGAGAAGTTAAACTACTTCAAAATTAATTTGTTCTACAAAAGACACCACGAAGAAAATAAAGAAGCAAACCACGGACTGGCAGAAAATATTCACAACATAAATTTTGTAAGTGTGTATGTGAATACGAGTGCATACACATCTGATAACACACTGTAACTAGATTATATGAAGAACTCTTACATCTCTATAATAACGAGACAGGTTGATTTAGAAAATGGCAAAAGGATTTAAACAGATATTTCATTCCATCTCACAGAAGATGTATGGATGACAGCTAAGAACAAGAAAAGATGCTGAACATCATTAACGTAAGGAAACACAAATTAAAACTAAAATAAGATCCTACTGCAGACCCAGCAGAATTGTTTCCGTTAAAAGGTTGGACTACACCAAGTATTGGGGGGGATGTGGAGCAACCAGAACATTCATATGTAGCTGGTGAGAATGCAAATGGTACAAACCACTTTGTATTTTATTTTGTTTGTTTTTAAGCCTACTTATTTATATGAGAGAGAGAGACAGAAAGAGAGAGAGAGAAAACACACAAGTGGGGGAGGGGCAGAGATAGAGGGAGACAGAATACCAAACAGGTTCCGCACTGTCAGCATAGAGCCCGATGCAGGGCTCAAACTCAGAACCAAGAGATCATGACCTGAGCCAAAATCAAGAGTCAGTCACTTAACTGACTCAGCCACCCAGTGCCTCCCCCCCCAACCCCCCCACCCCACCAGACCACTTTGTAAATTAGCTTGGCAGTTTCTTATAAAGTTAAACATTTAACTTACCAAATGATCAAGTAATTCCACTTCTACATGTTTATCCAAGAGAAATGAAAGTACACGTCCACACAAAGATTAGGATTTGAATGTCCATAGCAGCTTTATTCATAACAACGACAAGTTAGAAAAATGGGAACAACTTAAGTGTCCACCAACAGATGAATGGATAAACAAAATGTGGCATGTGCATATAATGGAATATTATACAGCCATGAAAAGGAAAGAAGTTCTGAAGCATGCTACAACATGGATGAAACTTGAAAACATTATGCTAAATGAAATAAGCCAGACACTGAAGGATAAATATTGTATTATTTCACTTACATGAAATATCCAGAGTAGGCAAATTCAGAGAGACAGAAGTAGATTAGCGGCTACCAGAAACTGAGGGTGGAGGAATGCGGAGTTATTGTTTAATTGTTACAGAGTTTCTGTTTGGGGTGATGAAAGAATTCTTGAAATAGATAGAGGTAATGGTTACCCAATATTTTGAATGCAATAGATGCCACTGCATTGTGCACTTTAAAGTGTTTAAAGTAATAAATGTTATGATATATACATGTTACCATAATAAAAAAAATTAACTGAAAATGAGAAATAACTCAAATGTTCATCAATAGGTGAATAAATAAATTGTGGTATATCCATTCAACTGAGTACCTCTACCAGGCAATAAAATACGAGGTTATTGTTTTTTTAATTATGTAACAATGAACTTGAAAAATTACATGTCTCAACTAGATAAGGTGAAAAATGCCACCTAGGCACCTTTACTTATAGCTGTTTCTCCTTTTTACATTTTCACTGATACATGCGCTTCTTGTTGTTTTTCTAAATGTGAATTAGAATAAGGCTAGTGAGATTTGGTAGACTCCTGTCAATGCGGATCTGAAAAATATCAGTGCTTTGACATTCCGAAGAAGTTGCCTGTGCTGCTTTGCAATTTAGCTGAGTCCATGTCACCGTGAGGCTCTTGACACTCCCCTCCTAACACATTACTTTGCACATAATCAGAAAATATGTGTGAATCAGGGACCCGCTTCTCTCTTTTACACACATACATACATATACATACGCAATAAAATATCTCAGAGTTTAAAACATTAAACACAATGTATATACTTATAAGTTCTATGGAAAAGCT